AGACTAGGGATACAGCAGTAAACAAGTGAACAAGAGAAGACATAGTGCCTGTCCTTCGGTCAGTTATACTATAGTGGGGAGTCAGATGTTAAAGAACCAATTGTAACATTAATAATTCAGTACAATTATGAGAACTTCTGTGTCTAAAAGATAACGTGCTGGGCGCCTAGGTGGCTCAGCCAGTTAAGCGTCTAACTTTGACTCAGGTCATGATTTCATGGTTTGTGAGTTTGAGCCCCACATCAGGCTCCCTGCTGTCAGCGCAGAGCCTGCTTCGGATCCTCTGTCTCCCTCCCTTTGCTCCTCCCACCCTGTCTGTTTCTCTCTCAAAAAAAAAAAAAAACATAAAAAAATTATTAAAACATTAAAAAAAAAAAGATAACATGCCAGGAGAGAATGCAAAAGGGGATTGATCTCTCAGAGGAACTGGGGAAAGCTTTCTTGACTAAATGACCTTTGGTCTACAGGCTTAAATGGTACGTATAGGTAAAGATTAAATGGTAGGTATAAACCATCTTGGGTGCGGGCTGTGGAAGAGCATGCGTAAAGCTCCTGAGTTTAGTAGAAACATGTTTAAGGAATTAAAAAAAAAAGCTAGTGAGTCAGGAAAGAAAGAGACATGGAAATGATCCAAGATGGGACTGGAGAGGAGGCAGAGGCCAGGCAAAGCCTTCCTTGTAGATTTTCATGATATTGGTCTTTACCTCATGTTTCAATGGCCATGGTAGAGATTTAAGGAGAGAGAGGATAGTTAAACGTGCATTGAAAAAACCTCACTCTGGGTAAGAAGTAAAGCTAGGACATCAGCTGGGATGTTTCTGCGATGGTTCAGGAAAGAGGTGCCTTTGACTATGGTGGTTGCAATGGGTGTAGACAGAACACACCCAAGAGACTGTTAGGAGTTTAAGGAATACAATATGTATAAGAGACATATTCTGCGCGATCAAAGGAAGGCTTAACATCAGTGTCAACAAACCCCAATGCTTAGTGGAAGAATCAGTGCTGAATTTTTCTCTCTGTCTTCTATCCTCTTCTGTCAGTTCTGCTTATTTTGCTATTAGAAATCTGGCCGAGTGAAGACATTCAGAATTCCACTGAAATAATAAGGTTTTCTGATGGTGTGATCTATTAGTTAAAAAAAACCATTTTGACAACTCTTGCCTAAGCTGTGTGCTTCCCTGGGATAGGCTCAGGGGCATGAAGATGTATGGGTCTTGCCTCTACCTTTGATATTCTCATTGTCCAATCAGGTAGACCTGCCCACAGCATCGTGGTATGTAAAATGCCATGGCTATTGAAGGGTTAATTATGAACACTGTCCTGTTGGGGGGAGTGAAGGTTAAGAGAATTTAAGAGAGCAGGCTGTGGAGCCTGGGTTTGAATCTGGAAATATCTGGATTCTAAGTTTCCGAGTTGCCTCTTCTGAGACATGGGAGTAATAATAGTGGATTATTCATAGGTGATTGTAACAATCAGATGGCATGAGACATGAAAATCATCAACTGGTAGAGGATGTAGTAATGGCTTAATAAATACAACAAATGTAGCCATTATGTTATTCTAGGGGAGGGGCTGGTGATCCCTCTGAATCAGGAAAGTTTACACAGCAATGCTTTACATCATATTTAAAGGGTATATATAGTTGACCTTTAATAAGTGTGTGCTTAAGGCATAAATATGTTTTATGATGGTAAAAGAATTTATTGAATATTTTTAACATGTCAGGTACTGCTATGAGTATTATAACGATATTTTCTCACTTCATTTTTGTCTGACCCTAAGAAAGAAATACTACTACAATGCCCAGTCATTTGCATATTTATAATACCAGTCATTTGCCCAATATTACACAGTAAATTGGCAAACTGAGATTTAAATCCAGTCCAGACCATTCCAAAGCTTTGCTCTTAACTTCTACAAGTTTACAACCTTCATTGTCTAAAAGTGCTGCTGAATGTAAACCAGCTTTTGCTTATTATGTATTTGCTCAATCAACGGATATTAAAAATACGTTGCTATAAAGAGCCAATCAAATATTTATAGCATTTTATCTGAACATTTTTTTTTATAAATAAATACTTATGGTAGGAAATAAATACATTGGGGAGCAAACAATACATTATGTGGTTATTCCAGTTCTCATAGATGATTACTACACACATTCTGCTACAAATATCTTCAGACTTTCCCCCCCCAGTGCACTGATGTATGAGATGTATGTATATAAACCTGTATTTTCATGATAAAAAGTGAATGATACCCTATTTTTTTCAGTAAGAATACATTATAAAACTCTTTGCATGTTTAGGACAGTAGTATATAGCATGGTTGATAGCAAATAGCGACGACTCCGCAAATGTTGGTGGTCGCTGATTGTCATCGCCGTCATCTCGGAAAACCACCCTCCAGCGAGGCTGTAATCATTTGACATTCCAACAACACGAAATTATTCTTTGCAGCACACCTTCACCAAATGTGGCTTCTACCACTTAATTTGTGTGTGTGTACTAATCTTGAAGAGTAAAGATGAAATCATGTTGTTTCATTTTGCACTTTTATTGCTAATGAGGTTAAACATCAGTCATTTGTATTTTTATTTTTTGAATTTTCTTCACTTGTTATTCTATTAGTTTGCTTATGATTTTCCTATCGGTATTTAAGAACTCTTTATAATGATGATTTTTAAAAAGTTTTTATTTCAATTGCAGTTAACATACAGTGTTATAGGGGCGCCTGGGGGGCTTGGTCGGTTAAGCGTCCGACTTCGGCCAGGTCATGATCTCGCAGTCGCTGAGTTCGAGCCCCATGTCGGGCTCTGTGCTGACAGCTCGGAGCCTGGAGCCTGTTCCAGATTCTGTATCTCTCTCTCTCTCTGCCCCTCCCCTGTTCATGCTCTATCTCTCTCTGTCTCAAAAATAAATAAACGTTTAAAAAAAATTTAGAAAAAAAACCCAAAAACATACAGTGTTATATTAGTTTTAGGTGTACAGTATAGTGATTCTACACTTCCATACAACACCCTGTGCTCATCACAGCAAGTGCAATTCTTAATCCCCACCACCTATTTCACCCGCCCTTCACCCTTCACCTCTCTCCACTCTCCTAACCATCAATTTGTTCTCTATAGTTAAGAATCTGTTTCTTGGTCTGCCTCCCTCTATTTTTTCCCTTTGCTTGTTTGTTTTGTTTCTTAAGTTCCACTGATGAGTGAAATCATAGGATATTTGTTTTTCTCTGACTTAGTTTGCTTTGCATATTACTCTTTAGCTCCTTCCACATTGTTGCAAATGGCAAGATTTCATTCTTTTTTTTATGGCTGAGTGGTTTCCCATTGTATATATACACCACCTCTTTGTTATCCATTCATCAGTCGATGGACACTTGGTCTGTTTCCATAAATTGGCTGTTGCAGGAAATGCTGCTATAAACAGCAGGGTGCATGTATCCCTCTGAATCAGTATTTTTGTATTGTTTGGGTATATACCTAGTAGTGTGGTTGCTGAATTGTAGGGCAGTTCTGTTTTTATCTTTTTGAGGAAACCCCTCCATACTGTTTTCCACAGTGGCTGCACCAGTTTGCATTCCCACCAAGAATGCAGGAGGGTTCCCCTTTCTCCACATCCTCACCAATACCTGTTGTTTGTTGTGTTGTTGATTTTAGCCATTCTGACAGGCGTGAGGTGACATAGTTTTGGGTAGCTTTTTTTTTTCTTCATTTGTAGTTTTGATTTGCATTTCCCTGATGATCAGTGAGGTTGAGCATCTTGTCATATGTCTGTTGTCCTAAGTATGTCTTCTTTGGATAAATGGCTACTTAGGTCTTCTGCCCATTTTTAAATTGATTATTATGTATTAAGTATATATTGCAGATATTATCAGCAGCTTGTGTTTTTATTTAGGTTTTAGTCTATTTTTTTAAAATAAATAAATATTAAGTAATTAAATTTGCCAGTCATTTTTACTGTGGTTTTTTTCATTTGGCATTTTCCAAATAAATGTTTTATTCATATCTACGTAATATAGATATGGTGTTTTTGACATTAAAAAGGGATATGCATTCTTTGAGATTTGGGAACCATGGTGTAAGGCATAAAGTCATGCAGATTATGAGTCTGTATCTCTGGTGGTAAGGAGAAAGAGATTGAAAGGCTCTCTGTTTTGGAAGAGTTTCAGTGGCTGGAGTATGTTTAGTAAGTTTCTTGCTGATCAAAGTCTGAAAATATGGGTTTTCTTTCTTTTTGTTTTCATCCACTTTTCTTGAAACCACAGAGCATGTTGTCTTTCAGGTCATCCACTACAAAGTGTAATACATCAAAAGTAGCTCATCTTCATACTAAAGTTGGGATTTCTGAGGCACGGGGATTAGTTACATTTTTGAAATTGTTTAGTGAATATAATCAGAATAGTATTCGATCAAATATTTCCCCATCTTACACTGTGTTGCTCATCATAAAGAGGAAAATATTTTCATTTTTCAGATACTTGTTTATATACAACACAATATTAAGTATGTAAGTAACATGCATGTCTTGCTGTAGATGTGAAAGGATACTGACCCATGTACAAATAAACTTCTGGCTTATTTTATGAACTCGGTTTTAAATGTTGCCCTATAGCTCTGTGTTAAAAGGCCACTGAGTTAATTGCTTTTATTGTGAAATTCATCAATCAAATTAGAAATGCTTCCCCCTGTATCAAAGAGATAATATCCTTTTTGTTTTTAATTTTTTAAATGTTTATTCATGTTCTTGATAGAGAGAGTGAGAGCAGGGGAGGGGCAAAGAGAGAGACACACATACACAGAATCCGAAACAGGCTCCAGGCTCTGAGCTGTCCGCACAGAGCCTGACGCATGGGGCTCCAACCCACGAACTGAAAGATTATGACCTGAGCCGAAGTCGGACGCTTAACTGACTGAGCCACCAGGCGCCCGAGATAATATGCTTTTATGAACACTTTAATCCCACATTTAACTGAGACTCCTTTGTTTTCTCTTCTAGCTTTTGTTTCTACCAACTTGACATCATACATGGCTACTGATGGCAATGCTCTTGTGAGTACTGTTTGGGACACTGCAGACTTAAATACTGTCAGTTTGATGAATGAGTAAAAAATAAACAAATTGATCTTGAGTTTGGCTAGCTAGTTACTGTCCTCCATTTCATTAGCCACGAGGGGATTAAATGATCCTTTTGTTAGGTTTCAGGGGGTTTCTTATGATCACCAAGCATTTAAGACTGCTAGCTATTTGCTTTTAAAGATCAAAAACATAACCATGATTTTAATATACAATACATAAATTGCCTCTGTGTTTTAGGTCAACTATGGTAATAGCACAACCTCTCATGCGACGTCTATGGGAAAAATTCTGCTAATTATTATGCTGAAATTTTAGGCTTTTTTGAAAATACTTTTACAGCTATAAATTTGCCTATTTAGGTAAATCCACTGAGCAAGTATGTTATCTCTATTAGACAAGGACACTTAGCAGAGAAAATTAGTTGATAAAATTAACATGATATTTCTAATAGGAGGGGGTGTGGGGTAGTGTGGGACTGTATAGTGTGTATCTTTTGGCAAATCTAATGACCTCATGATGGATGCATAGGATAGTTTTCGGAGTAGAGCCAAAAGCAGAACCAGAAATGGGGTATTGAGAGAATACAGTATAGACTTCCTGCAAAATAGGGGGCATGGACCATAGTTTCCTGATGCAAATTAGGAAATGGATGTCAAGGCAGGTTGTAGGAATCGTGATGGAGAAATGGAATGAACTAGAAAGCTCCTGGAAGGGACACCTTACTAAAAAGCAAGGCAGCTGATTAATTCTCTGCTTTGTTAACAATTTCCTATTCCAGAAATAGAGAAAGCAATGAGAGCACTTTAATTCTGATGCTAATTCTAAATGAGAAGGAAAAGCTTGCTAGTGATGAAAATGGTGGAAACTTTGGGAGACAGGACTGCAGAAAACTAAAAATGAAAACACAAATTATAGTTCATTATTTACCCTGGGAAATTTGCCATCTAAAACTTGCGGAAAAGGCAAATGTGATCCCTTGGACACAAACGAGTAGGTGTTGTTTGATCATAGAAATGTGAATAATCATGATGAAGATAAAGAAAGGGAACACCTAAGAGAATAAATGAGGCCGCAGTGGGAGACTTGGCCAAGGTTAAATATGAAGGCATATGTATAGGGTGTTCAAGGAAGGTCCTGTGGTCAAGGGCAAAAGACAGGCATCACAGATTTGTAAAATAGTCAGGAACACTAAAGCTTAGAGTTCCCAACGTTTATAAAAATTTTTAAAAAGAAAAAGTGCATATGATGATAAGGACATGCTATACAGAGCAAAGAAATGCAAAGGAAGAACTGGAATGGTTAGATCCTTGAGAAAAGTAATGGAGGGTTTGATTTTTTTTTTACATTATTTCCCTTTTCTACTGAAAGAATGTAGTGTTCCAACTGGAAGGAGTTGATCTTATATATTTAAGAAGAAATGGAAACTAAGATAGTAAGAGAGCAGTTAAGCACTTTAAGAAATTCATTCACTCATTCAAACATTCATTTAAAGTTCACTGATTACCTGTCCCGACTCTATCATTTATCACCCACTGTACTAGGTAGGAACTGGAGATTTAAGTATGACCTGAAACATGTTTAAATCTCCACATCTTAAGTAGAGTATAACCCTGGCTATTGGTGCACACTGAAGATTTGATTACCAAAGGACTAACCTACCACCCACACAATCCGCAATTGACAGCCAGCACCACTGCAATATGTAACCTGCTTCCCCTTGGACCCGGGAGCAGGTAGATTCCACCCTCATTGGTGGGAACTCTGGCTATTTATGGGTCTTTCTCATTTCATGAGCCATCCTCCACTCCCAGACTTAATCAGCTCAGCTCTCCTCGTGTGCCTATTTACCTGTTATTTTTATCTCGCGGCCATCAGTGTCTAGGTCGTACGGCTAAACATCTCAAGCATTTCTTCCAGTTGCTTTTCAGTGGTTACCCTACTTTATATTTCCATTCAGAAAATTAGTTCAATTTTCTGCTGTCATTTGTTCTCTAAATAAAATGTAGCACAGGAGACCTATTTTTATGCTAGGTAGTTTCAGTAGGCTTGACACATTTGACCTAATCACATCCTGAATCACACTTCATTTCCAATAACCTAACGTTTATTGAGCTATATGTGCTGAGCCTTCTGTTTGGTGCTTATGATGGGGAACTTACCATCAGCAGGGGTGAAGGCCAGTACTTTTAAGGCACTTTTGTTGATCGTGACCTGATAGTTGCTGAGGTTGGCATGGTAAATTGTGCCAATAAAATTGCCCAAGAAACTAGATTCTAAGCATCTGAGATTTTATTATGTGTGTGGTAGAATAGCGTTTTTTCTGGTTAAGCTGAGTTGTTCATTATCTGATAGTAGCCTTTTCTCTCCTCTGAAAAAAACAGAATTTTTAGAGCTAAAGCTTCCCAGAGAACCAAAAGTATTCACTCACCAAGTTCCATTGGTTTCACCTTCTTGGTATTTCTTTGTCTTCATGGCACAACACTGCCCTTCCCTATCCCTGCTGGGATCCTTGCCTCTGCACCGGCTCCCCCCCCCCCCAACCTCCCTTGCCCCTCCAATCCACCTGCCATGCAACAGACTGAGTGAACTTTCTTAAACGCAAATAACATTGTGTCCCTTGCCTGCTGACATCTGTTCAGCGGCTTCCCATTGACTTTTGGGTAAACCTCATACTTTCAAATGTAACGTACAAGGTTCTGTGTGATGTTGGCTTTACTACTCAGTGTGGTTATTCCCCAACACTCTGTGGTGGGTGCCTTCTGGTTCACACCTGCATTCCTGTATTAGAGCCTTTGATGCTCAGGCCTTCATCCTTGGGACCTTTGTTTTTATCAACCCGCGGGGTGATTCCCCTGACTCCCCTGACTCCCTGATCCTGGGTAATGGCACTTCCATATGGACCTCATTATCCTTGTTCAATTCTTTCTTTTCTGCATTTGACTGGAAGCTGTGTAAGAGCTTGCTTGCCTCTGAATCTTGGGTCCTTGGCACGGAGTAATTGTGCAAGAACTGGGGGTTGAATAAACAAAAGCCACAAATGACCAAATCGTGGCCTGAAATAAAGAATTAGCATAATCATCTCTAGGATCTGGGTCATAGCTTGTTGGGAAATCTATAACATAATCATTAGATTTGGTACAATCCCTAAACATTTCTAAGAATCCACTTGTGTAGTCCTCCATATTTATAAGGCTTTCCATGCATCATGCTGTGGTGATAACACAGTATTATACACTAAATGAGTATTGCTTATTTTTCTGATATGACTAGTTTCTCACTAAAATAAAGAAATAGATGAATAAGCAAACAAACAAATCACAATTAGCATACATGAATCTTAAAGGCTTGATTAAGAAAGTTCTCTGTTCTCAGATTTTAGTAACAATGTTGTAGCCAAGAAAGGAAAACAGCCTTACCTTGAAGATGACAAGGGTTAGAGGGAATGCTACACATCATCTCTTGTATCATCATATTTAGTTCTTTCACCTAAAGCTTCTGAGAATTCTTACTTTCAGGGATGGCTCTTGTGGGCAGGAAATGGTCAGATTCATCTTAGATAAGAACCTTATCACAGTGGTTTCCCAAGAATTCTTTTAAATAAAATTGTTTTATTAAATATTGCCTAAATGTCAAGTGAAAACTTGTTCCTGAAACAGAAAACTCTGCATATGAATCATGGTAACTTTGCTCAGTTTTCATGCTCCATGAGGACAGCAGGCTCATTGAATGGGAAGGGACATTTACTTCTGGTGCCGTGGCTGGGTTCATCTGCTGCTTCCTGGACTGTCATCTGTGGGATGATTTGTCTAACAGCAAACCCGTATTTGTTGTGTTTACTTCACAATAAAGCTCTGCATTCATCACTTACGGAACACTTGTTGCCTGGGTGTTCTCTGTGTGGTGAACAGTCTAGACATGATTCTCGTCCCCGTGGGGAACTGCCTGCCCCTCACTTGAACTCTGTGCTCATCGTGTGTGCCTCAGGGCTGGGGTGATATTCAGGGATGAAGTGAGGAATTTAGTTTTCACATTTTTGATTTACTAAAAAGAGCTCACATTTTGGCAGCTTGTTCATTTAGGCCACATGAACATAACTCCGTTATGCCAACACTGCTGTGCACAGGCCTTGTGCACAGATCAAACTTGGGAGGCTGTTTCACATATTTGCTGTTCCAAGTAGGACTTCCGGTGGAACAGTGCCTGACAGCTGTCTGGGGAGCAGATTACCGGGTAGGGTCTTGTTAACTACCACTGGAAAACTTCTGTCCCCCTTTCCAGTGCTCTTCTTTTGTCCCCTGCATTCTTATTTCTTTGGTTTCAGATTCTTACTATTTGTAGGACATGGTTAAAACAGGATGCTGGAGAAAGCTGCAATAGTTTTTGAGGAAATGGTATTTTAGATAAAAGTAGAGATTTGTTGAGCACAAGGTTATTTTACCTTCAAAGAAATATCAAGGGTCAACACTTCAGGTGGGTTCAAATTTAGTGTCAGTTAATACCAGAAACTTTTCTCTATGCATGTGCTGCTTTGGGGGTAAGAAAGGTATTGGGGCAATCTTCATGTTGCTTAACTGTGCTGATGTTATTTAGTGGGGGCATTTCTCAGCTCTGTGTAATCAAGCAGTAGATGGCTTTCCAGGTATTTGTTAAATCTCCACATGTGCCAGGACTACTAGTAAGGCATCATGTGAAGTACAAATTGACATAGGACATAGTCAGTCTTTTGGCAAATATTTATTGAGTGTCCTTTCTGTGTCAGGCATTGGGCTAGGTGCTAGATTTTGAAGTCATGATATGATCAAGAACATCAATTATGTCTTGAAGTCTTGGCCAATCATTGAGTCTGTGGAGAGTTATAGTCATTCAAGCACGAGCTGATAAGAGATAAGAAAACTTGAAGAATCAAATGAAGAGGGGTAATGATTGAATAAAAATGTGAACTAGAGGAAAGGCCTGAGAGTACTCACAGGTTC